TCGGGCTTCGATTAATCGCTCGATTAAACAAACTACTCACTCTTGGGAAGTGGGCGCCACCCGAAGTACCGTTTGGTGGTGTTAATGTAATTCTATTCGACAGTTATATACAAAATATACCAGTTCTGGACAAACCACTATATGCGAATCTTGAGCGTGATCCCTGTACTCGTTTGCCCATTGAGGCTGATGTTCAGTATGGAGTAAAACGGTCGTTGATGCTACAAACCAATACAGTCACGAAGCTGACAAAGGAAAATTAGAACTGAAGATCAAAAATAACTGACTCTACTCAATCATCTTCGCTTGGGAGAGACGACGCGCGCCGATTTTGACTACCTCTGTGCACGGATCATTGGCTCTGGATAAGCCTCTCAATCACAGAAAGATAAATCCTAGTGTGATGCACATATTCTAGTTTTTCGTAACCAGCTACGAACAAAAATAAACAATGGAGCCGCCATCAACAAAGCGAACGAAGCAGGTATCCCGTTAGTTATTGTCCTAGCACATGATAAAATTCGATCAAAAACCCGCAGACGACGACAATATATACCAACGTCTCCTTCATTTACCAGACAACAAGACTGAGCTTCTTCCTGGTCTCCTACCTTTTGTACCAGACATGCCTGTGCTTCTTACTGATAATATCGTCTGTGAACTCGGACTTTCGAACGACACTCAAGGAATTTTTCGAGAGCTCGTATATGATGATCAGGAGGACCCGGGTAGTTTGAAGGAAAGAGCGACGTATTTTCCTCAAATACGATCTACATAAGAAAATCGTTATACGCGCTTGTGAAAATCAACACATCACAAGTAGAAACAAGTCTTGATTGTCTTCATCCCAAACTAATCTCTATTCCACTGATAAAACAACAGTTTACTGTTCTCATCAAGCAACTCTTCGATTGGCTATTTGAACGTGTGCAAGGTGGGAAAAAAGTCCCAGAAACAATTCAAGTTACAAGAACTCAATTGCCAATCGTGCCTGCCTTCAGAATAACTACTTATAAGTCGCAAGGACTCACGATGAACAAAATCGTAGTCGATCTTCAAGTTCTACTTGGAACAATCCAAGTAGCATCAATATATATACCACTCAATAGAGTGGAGAGAGCGGAAGATGTGACCATTGTTCGACCTTTCGACATGAAGGTTCTACAAGTTTGACCTTCTCCTGCTCAAGATACTGAACTGAAACGTTTAGATGAATTTAACAGAAAGACACAGCAAGAGTGTACTTTTTTTCTTTTTGAAATTGTATAAATAAATAGTTTGTTGATAGTTCAAAAAACACAATTTCTACCACGAGAAAGAGCTGAGCGAGTCCTCGGACGAGCGCTACTTGTTTTATTACGTATTATTTTATATATTGCCGTGTAATAAATTGTACATGATGTGAAGAAAGTTTGAATTTAGTTTTAAATAGAATTAATTAAAAGAACTTACTTTAGATGATTATGTAGCTCAGTGTAAAAATATTTGCTTTTGTAAAATATATGAATACAAAAAAAAAATACCGATCGAACTCTTTCCTTTTTTTAATATTTCTATCACTATTCTTTCTACCAATATTTATTTTGTGTTACTATTAAATATAACAACGTTTATCTCTGTACATTCTGATATTGCATGACTGCATCTCGAAGATGTTCCATTGCACTTATTAGTGTAATTTTGAGGTCACTATTAAAATCGATTTTTTTTTCTTGCGGAAGTAATTTTTTTTGAACTCACTGCTCTTTATTGATTTTTTTGTTGGAAAATATTTATTGATCAACTTTGAATAATAAAAATAATAAAGAAAAAAGATTAATTCATTTCCTAGTTGAAGAAATGTGATGGAAGAGATTAAAGTGTATGAACACCTATACCACGATAGACAAATGCGATCTAACATTTGTTTCAGTTTATCTTTGATGATCACTGATGTAACTGTAAATAAATAAATAACATAAACTTCATCAGTAAATATTCTTGTTCGTATTTTGGTTTGTATTGCTTAGGTTGAAAATACATGATATTGATCGATCGATATGCGTTCAAGACCAAATATTCGCCATATATTATACATTTGTTCGCACTATCGCTGGTTGTATTTATAACTTTCAGTTCTAGTTATATGCGTTCGTAGAGACTATTTTCGATGTTTTTATTAGGAAGACATTGAAATTAACTGAGAAGAAAAGATTTTCAAAAAAAAATAGAATCTTCAGAAATTGATCAAAATGTCACGTTGATGCAACATTGGTTTAACAAGTAATCAGGATGGTCACAATCAAACATAGATCATAAAGTAAGCATTTTGGCTTGAAATCGCTAGTTTGTTATTTCATCTAGCTGTAGTTGAGCTTTTCTTGCTCGTGTTCGAATAGAACTCATAATTTTGAATGAAAAAAAGAATATTTTTAAACACACTTCACTTAAGATTTTCGTTGAAAGCTAAAGAAATACAACCGACAAATTTTATGAGTGTGCACATCAAGCCCGCTCTACTCCACAATGAATATAATTCTATACATTCTAAATGTCATATTTATAATTAGCATACTGAGACTAATATATCTACACATGTTGTGATCAAAATGCAGGAAAAAGTATATTTTGATTCTCCAGGTGACTAGATGTCCCAGATTGTAATAACTGTGTTGTCATTTATCACGATTTCGATCAGACTTAACAAGCTCAAGCGATACTAATATCATATATATGCGTAAATGTGAATTTTGACGTGAGCGTCCATGTGCATGTCAATTTCAGGTTTTTTAAAGGATATTGATGTATGGAATGTTTCTGTTCATCTATTCATCATCATGTTTCTGACCAATTATTATTAGATATGATACTCGAAAAGAATAAGTTAATTATTTATTAAGTTTTAACTGCATTTATAACGATTTAGTTTTCGTTTGAAACAACAGACTGACGCAATGTTGCTGCTGAAAGGCGCTTTCATTACTTCGAAAAAGAGTTCTTACTTCTAAGTTGTCATTTTGTGGAACGAAAGAGGCTTCTTATCGAAAAAAATTTATCATACAAGAACATAGTATTTTGCTATTTTATGTTCGATTTGTTCTAGAAATTGCCTTTTTTTTAAATAAATATTATAAACACAAAATTCAAGATTCTAATTTTTCATAATCTTTCTTATTTTACATATGGAATAAATCTGAAAATTCTTCAAATATAATTATTTTAAAAACTGTTCTTTCTTTTTATTCATTTTCATAGTTCATGTAACTTGAACATTATTTACTTATATCTCTTCAAAAAATAATACCTGATTATATAAACATAAAGTCATATATATAAAGAAAAGTTTTTAAATAAAAAACAGAAGAATCATAACAACAACTAATACTATCAATAACAAAAATAAAGCAATCGATGGTCCCACTAAATCTGGAGTCGATTTAGTCTTCATTTGTTGATAGGTACGAAAGAATCGCCAAAGAGAATATAACAAAATAAAAATTCCGCACACAACTAATATAAATCCAGCAACAATTGGTTTCTTATCAACATTTTTACTCCTTAAATTTGATGAGCTATTCGAACCACTAAATCGTGCAATAGCAATTCCGAGTGTAAACACAGCAAGACCAGTTCGTATCCAAGCTAAAAAGGTTCGTTCATTAGACAAAATGTTATCTGTCATATTATTATCATCCTGTTTAGTCGTTTCTTCAATTTTTTTTTTCATCATCATTTATTGTAACGCTATCTAAAATAAAACGAATTATTTAAAAACTATTATTAACAAAAAACTTCATTTACAACTTTACTTACAAAATAAATTGAATTTATAAATCTCAGTATCAATATAAACGCATTTGCTTACCAATAAGTGCTGAACATGATTTAATCATGCATGACGTTGATTAGATATGATATGTGAAGACGAACGAATCATATAATATATTTATAATTTCATCCATAAAATAATGTACAAAAACAATTGTAACGCTACCGGTTGTTTGAATTTCATAATGAGAGATTTAGCCTTCTCATATCATCACTCGTATATTATACATATTGTCCTTACCTGTCTATTCTTACGCTGCTGTCCTTACTCGATTGTTCTTATATATCTGCTCTTTCCTTGGTCTCGTATCCTTTCTTTTCATCCTCTCTTCTTTTATTTGTGTATATAATTGTGTGCTTTGTATGCAAACGATGCGATTATATGGTGTGAAGGAATAGAATAAAGTGTAAATCCATTCATACTATCATTCCTTCTATTATTAATCGTCACAACAAAGTAATAATATATTATGATAATGATAAATTTATCTCTTATTGAATAAGTTTTTTTTCTTTTTTTTACTTCTAAATCAATTGAATTGAAAAAAATACTAAATGACTTAATTCTGTTTATAGAAATAATTTTAAAAAAAACTTCGATCATTTATTTATTTCATATTCTTCAAATAAAAAGAAAAACTATTCGTGTAATACTATCCGAAATAAAAATGTGAAATACGAGAGAAAACTACTGTCATTGTAAATAGAGAAGTTACCAAAATATATTTCGGTTCGTGGTTTATTACCTATTACTAATGCATATCAATGGCGAAAGATTATTAATTATTATGTATAACAAATCGGTATGAAACAATGACACAGGGCTACTATCTTCAATTGTCATATTTTCTGATGAGATATTGCTAAGCTGTTGATCACGCCTGTAGAAAACGGTTCAAACTTCTTCCAGTATACTTCAACAAACTTTTTAGATGATGCTTCACGCAAATCTGCATTATTCTTTTTTTTTTTATCAAATGACAGAAATGCATGTTCTTTATTTTGAGTATTGGTCATTATGAAAATGTCCTATTGTGACAGATGATATAGAAAAAATATTCAATTCAAAAAAGAGAACTTCGACACTCCTCCGAGAAACGATCGTTACAAATCTAACAACGAACTTCTCTCAACATTTTTCAACTATTATCCATTTCAAAATAAAGTGGACTCGGTTGTTTGTTTAATAACTCTATAACGCTAATAGCTATTGAAGCGCAATTTTCACCGTTAGATAGAAGCTAACTGGGGGTACCTCTATAACTGAGAGTCAATGGACTTTGAAATTTCTTTGGAAGTATTGCAAGTGTTTTTAATAAAACTCTGACAGACTCTCTTTTATTACGTACATTCTTGATTTCAATTTAGCCAAATTGCAGCCTAGCATCTGCTCTATAAACGCTAAAAGTTTCAGAC